CAGAGCGGAAGCCGGAAACCGTTCGGAGAAATAAAGATCGGCACTATTTCTCCGAACGTTCGGAGAAATAGTCACTTCGACTTTTTTCTGTAGGCCTACAGTACAGAGTTCTTTCGGCCGAGTTAATTAATGAGTCTGTCCTAAACTGTCCTTCTTTAGTTTTCAGGTAACAATGTGTAATAGTAATAGTATCGCAGACCTTCGCCCATATTGCAATACAAGATCTTGATACAAATTCAGTATAATATGATTAGGCCTATTATTTTATTTTTGTGGGTTTTTTGTTTTATTTTGTTTTAGTGGGGAGGGTGGAGGGGGCGGGTCAGGGTGTGTGCTGGGGAGGGGGCAGAGGCGGCTCGTGGGTCTAAAATGTGGGCGTGCACAATTAACTTACAGCAGGTTGAAGATAGCCAGGGGCATGGCAAATGAGATGTATTCTTCATCTTACCTGTTTGGAGAAAATTTACTTGAACAAAAAGTCTACACTCTGTTCTTTTGCTGCAGCAAAGGTGTCCATCATTTAGTCGACGAAGTTGGAGATGTTGTCAATGGTATCCTTGTGGATCGATACAAATGTGAGATAATTCAGTCTCTCAGCTGCCATGACAAATAATCACCATTGCGTTTCTCGCCCTTGATCAGGGTATAGGCCACGAACAAACACTTTCCACCTTTCCCCCTTCTGGGCTAGCTGCTTATAGGTGATGTTATTCCATGTGTTCCCACTTTTCTGTACATCTGTTTCTATGACGCTTCTCCAGGTTCCACTTGGTCTTCCCCTTTGATCTTTTACCGTGTCGGTTCCAACCCAACGCTTTCCTTGTTATGCAGCTGCCTGACTTCCTGAGAGTACATGTATATCTATGTGCAATCTATGGGCTCTGAATACGTCCTACTTAATGTCCCTTCCTGTCATGACAAATGACACACAAAAAGATAAATAAATAAATAAATAAATAAATAAATAAATAAATAAACTTTACAGACTATTGTGCAAGAGTGTGAGTTGAGTGACCTTCAACTATACTTAGCCTACGGGGTTGCGGCGAAGGAGGAGGGGGGGGAGCGGCCGAAGCCAACGTTTATCGATCTTAGACCACCAGGAAATCTTTACTTAAACGTGCACAACTTCCAAATAAGACCTCCGAGGTTTTTAATCCCTTGTCCGAGAAGGTTTGGTGTAGATCTTTCCTTCCATAAGATCTGGGGTGTGGCTGAAAGATAGCAGTAAGAAGGAGTCAAGGAGTAGCAGTAAAAAGGCTGCAGAAAGAGTCAGGAGCCCAGCTAGAGGAGGGGGCCAAAGGGGATGAGGGGGTGGGGGCAGAAAGTGGAGACGAAAGCAGATGACAGAACATTGATAGAGAGCAGGAATGGAGGTGAAAGGAGACAGTTTTAGAGAAGAAAATTTTTCCGTCGCTACCAGGATTAGAACCGGGACCTTTGAATGAGAGGCGAACACCTTAACCTTTAGGCCAT